CTGAAGCTGGGAATACCAGCAGGGGCTCTGTCAGAAGAAAAAGACAATGGTGGGGTACTAGGACCTGAGAAGAAAGGCCGAGCAGGACTAGGGGCAGTGAAAATTATGAAGATCCAAGATGAAGCTTCCCTGCCATTGACTTGGACTCTGGGGAGCCCCTTTACTGTGAAGGCTTCTGGCTGAGCATCTCAGGCAGGGATAGAGAGCTGTGTGGCCAGGGGCCTACAATGACTTTCCTTTTCCCATCTCCCTGCCTATATCATATCCTTAACCAGCCCCTCAGATTGCAGAGCTGCCCCTACAACAGTGTGGGAAACCTCATAGCCCACTGAGCACACAGACAGGTGAGTTCCTGGAACCCAAGCCATCTTGGCATAGGTTAACATGATGAGCAGACAACTGCTTGCATTACCCCCAGGCTTCCCCCTGCCCCACAGCCTCTGAGCTTTCTCACCAGACCTCCCCAGGATTCCATCGTGTCCTCCTTCCTCCAGCATCCCTTTCCTGGGGCTGCTTTCTGCCCGGAAGTTTGCCTGCAGCATGTGCTCGCAGCTCAAGGTGTTCCGAACGAACTCTCTGGCCATCTGGAAGACTCCTTTCTGCTTCTGTGATGGCCCTGGCCCTGACAGAACCATCCCCCCAGGATTTGTGGCTTCTCTAAGAGAGTTTCTGCCTAGCTTTACCCCTAAACTATCTCCCCTCGAAAGTCCATCCTGTACATCTGCCACTTATAAGCCGCTGTTAACACAAGTGCATCTGAAACTCACTAGCCATGTTAAACGTGTACTCCTTGGAAAAAAGGGATGACCCCCTCTACATGACTTGGTTTGCAAAGGGGTTTTTTCCTCACATTCCCTTTAGCGTCTCATTTCTTTCACAGTTTGTGGTTTCCCATTTTAAACTATTGCTGTCTTTCCACTCCTTTACAGAAAGATTCAATTCTTTTGGGACAACCAAGCCTAAAATACCATTCTGCAATCCCTTATCTACCATTCCAAACCCCCAAATCTCCGAAGGTCAAAAGGATTTTTGTTTTGCAAATTTGATGCCAAAACTCATCTGGTAGGCAAAATCTGACCTAAACTGATGTGAAGTTACTTTATCCTCACACCTGCTTAGTGTAAACTTCATATATTTTGCTGTAGAAATATTAATGTGTCTGATTTCAATACACTGCTCAAAACTTCACAGAGGATGTTTCAAAATATATAGTGGCTTTCTGAATTCTAAAACGCCTCTGGCTTCAAGGGCTTCAGATAGGGGTGTGAGGAAGTGTACCAGCCTCTCTGTTCTCCTGTGATAGGCCTCTTGGGACAGAAGCATCTCTAAGATCTGGAGTCTTGACTTCTCACCTGGAGAGCAAGAAGATAGCCAAGTGGATCAATGAGAGTCACAAGGAAACCAAGAATGACAAATCCTCTAATGTAGAGAGAGAATTAACAAAGTCATTTGTAAATGAAGGACATGGGGGACTGGGGGTTGTCTTCAGTGTTTTCTGCAGTTTTCGTCCTGTCCTTGACTTGCTGTGTGACTCTTAGCAACTTGTGTAAGTCCAACCTCTCTGAGCCTGGACTGTACAGGAAAACTAGCTCCTGAGAACTCCTGCTCCAGCGGGCTTTGATGATGAACACAAACAATATGTCTTGAGTTTTTAGAAGATGAAGTCCTGTATAGCTTTGATGGTATTTTTTAAGTAAATAGGTTTAATTGGAAGAAATCAGAAAGTATCTACTGTGTGTTCACTCTGTGCCCAGTTTTATGCTGGTTCTATGAGGTAGTTAACTGCAAAGTTTAAACTCTGGACTTCACGGGGCTCACATTCTGTTAGGGAAGTCAAGTGTCACTGAGTGAAATTATTAGAGAAAAAAGCGAATGTGCATCACAGGTGATAAGGAGAGCTGAGAACTGCTGGCCACGGCAGTTTTGGAAGGTGGTGCAGAAGGGGAGACTTAGTTTGGGTATGAACAGATGAGAAACCACTTTAAGCACGTTTCCCAGGTAAGAATGGAGAAGTTTGTGGGGAAACACCCTGAAGAAAAAAATCTTCACTGGGGTCAAAAGATGGGAGCATGAACAAGATACACGGGGGAAGGGGTGTGCTGAAAACGTGTGCATTAGTTGGCTCAGGCTGCCATAGCAAATAGCACAGACAAGGAGCTTAGGCACAGAAATTAATGTTCTCACAGTTCTGGAGCCTGGAAGTCCCAGACCAAGGTGCTGGCAGGTCTGATTTCTTCGGAGGCCCACTCCTGGCTTGCAGATGGTCTGCTCCTGTTACTCACGTGGCCTTTCTCTTGAGGTTGTGCAGAGAAATGGGAGATCTCATTCTCTTTTACGGGGACACTAGTCCTACTGAATTAGGGTCCCACCCTTATCATTCCATTTTACCTTAAATGCCCCTGTAAAGGCCTTATCTCCAAATGCAGTCACATTAGGGGTCAGAGCTTCACTGTATGAATTTGGTCAGAGAGGCACAATTCAGTCTATAACCATGTATATGTGCCTTACAAAAGCAGGGTGTGTCTGGGCAATGTGAAAGGATGAGGGGTCTACCTATGGGATGGGCAGGGGCAGAGCTGGAGCTCTGAGCAGACACTGATATGAACTGAGCGAATGGACATCTAGGACATCAGAGAAATGAGAAATTTTCCAACCAGGACTTCCTGGCCCACTGGGCTCAACCCTCACAAGTTCAAGTGCTGAAGCCAGATTGTATTCCCTGGAGAACTTCCTAGCTAGAACGTCTCCATAATTCCCTGTATTTCTCTGTCCTTCCCTAATACCTCTGGTCTGTTGTAACTTTACCTGGCTAGCTGCAGAAAAATGTGAGATTATTATAGAGTTATTTTGCACAGAGCACCTATTCACATCTGGTTGGCTAATGCTGATAATTACCGTACTGGTTACTAAATCTGTCGGGTCTGGGTGAGGTGAGGCACTGCAGCTGGGGCTGCTGTGCACAGCCTTGCCGGCAGAGAGAGAGGTGAGAACAAAAACCAAGAAAGGTGTGCTCAGATGCTTGGGATTGAGTGAAACCGGTTAATTACCAGTCACTTGCTGTCTCCCTGAGTTGGAGTTTCTGGCTAAGGAATGCTCATAGATCAGACAGAATATGACAACTTGCAACTTATTTCCACATTAAGAGGGTGGCGGGGACCAAGATGCAGAGAAAGTGTGGAGACAGTCTCTTAGGTGCCAGAGCCTTGGCCAGATGACTCAGATGCCCTCAGAACAGGGTGGTGGCATGCTTCAGCAGAGTGCAGAGCCAACTGGACTCCTTATGCAGAGAGCTGGGGATCAGATATGGCCTTGGGGCAGAGTCTATTTGCCGCTAGATGAAGGTTCTTAATCAGGGCCCTAGATTAAGTTTTAATGATCCACAAACCCTCCTACAGTTGCATGTCAACATGTGTGTATGTAGGTGAGCATTTTTATAAGAAACAGATCTGTAACATTTATGAGATTCTTGAAAGGTTCTAAAGGGTCTGTCATCCCCAAAAGGAGGGTGATTATAAACTACTGTCCTAGACCCCTGAAGAAACAGGTGGACGCTAGACAGAGCCCCGAGAGACTCAATGTTCCTAATGATCTTGAAAGTATACTCAAGGGGTGTGTGTGTGTGTCTGTGTAAAGGTATTTGTGTATTTTTCCGGAAAAATGATTCAGTAATTTTTGCCAGATTCTCAAAGGGGCCCACAACCCTTAAAGCCTTGATGGGGGCTCAAAAAGCTAGAAAGTTTGTCTATGCCTCGCTGTTTCTTTTCGGAGGAAGATCACAGAGACTTGAAAACAGGGCCCAGAGTAGGTCCTGGTAGTTCTGCTCAAAATCTAGGGATAACAGGGGCCAGAGGCTGGCTGGCTGATCCTCTATAAAAGAACACATTCAAATCTTATTAAGAGTCAAGCGCCCAGAAGGCAGATAGTAGGTGATGGTCACAAAAGCTTCAACAGATGGGAAAACAGTCTTAGCTCCTTCCCTCTCCGATGGTGAATTCCCAGGTCTTTCTCTTCTGTAGCCCTGTACCCAGCTTTCAGAAACCCAAAGACCTCATTCATGGAAGCTCAGAATTCATTCAATAAACACTGAGCGCCTACTATGTGTCAGGCTCTATTCTAGGCGCAAAATAAAGGACTTGTCTTCAGAGTGTGACCCACCAAGGCCAGTTTCCTGTCTGGACAGGGATATTTTGGGCATTGCTGATCAAGTGCGTTTTTCTGGCGCTTAACACCCTCATTCCCCTGGTCCAGAGAGGCAGAAGCCATCCCCCAACCGCAGAGGGTGGGGGCGAGGAGAGGGGGCAGAACCTGTGCTCAAAGCGGTGAGGGAGGCTAGTAGGACGCGGCAGGAGCAGGAGGCAAGCCCGACCCAGGCACTGCTGGGGTTGGGGGCAGGCGGGACGGGATGGGGGCACTGCCGGTGGGGACTAGGGGTGGGGTGGAAGCGGCGCTGCCTGCAGCCGCCAGGGCCTCTCCGCGCCAGATCTTAGAGCCGCGCTCCCCGGCTCCCCGCCTGCGGGGGCCGTCGCAGAGCCCTGCTCTCCATACTGAGCAGTCCCCGGGAGTGCTCGGACACGTCCCCAGGCTGCATAAAGATCGGCTCCGTGCTAGCTCCGCAGCCGAAATCTCTCCATTAACGCGGCTCGCGCGGCCGCCCCGGCCCTGCTCTGCGACGCCAGATCGCTATCTGGGGGGGAAACGGGAAGGCAGCGCCACCGCTCGCTCCGCCACCTTCGGTCCTGCGCGCAGGGCTGGCCGCGGGGTCCTGGGCCTCTCCTCCCCCTTCTTGTTCCTTCCCGGCGCTGCCTCCCGAGAGACCCCCGCTTCCCTCCGGCCCGGGGCCACCAGCGCCCAACCAGGCGCCCTCTCCCCGCCTCGCCAGGCCCCGTTGCCTCCTGAAGGTTACGCGACGCAGCGGCGGGGCGCGGGGGGCGCACGCCCTCGCCGCCGCCTGCGCCGCCCCCCACCCCAGTGCCCGCCGCGCCGCGCCGGGCCAGCCTGGCTGCCGGCTGCTGCCACCGCAATCCCGGCTCCTAAATCAGCGCGGGGAGGCGCTCCCTCCCCACACCCGGCTCCCGGGGTTGCCGGGCTGCGATTGGCTGCGCGGGCGCCCCCCACCCCGGGCCCCTGGCTCCAGCTGCCGCGCCATTGGCTGCGGCCCTCCGCCAGCCTTTACATAAGCCCGGGCGCGCTCGAGTGGAGTTGTATAAAGCCAGCGCGCGGCGTCGGGGCGGGAGGCTCGAGGCCAGCCCGGGACCCGGGCTGGAAGCTAGCAGGCGGCGGCGGCGCCGGCGGCTGAGGCGGCAGCGAGCGCCCGCTTCCCACGCCCCCAGGCGGCGGGGCCGAGAGCCGGAGGATGGCTCCGAGCGCTGACCCCGGCGTGAGTACCCGCACTGGTGCCCCCATCCTCAGGCGGAGAAAGTTTCTCCAGCCCCGCGCGCCCCCCACCGGATCCGCCCGCGAGGGTAGCGGGGACGCCGCCCGGGAACCCGGGAAGACCGGGATCGCGAAGGCGGCGGCTTCGCTCCTAACTTGCTGGAAGGCGCTGGACTCGATTGGCGCGCTGAGCCTCCCCCGCGGGCTGCGGGCGAGGCGGGAGCCAGGTTGGAGGTGGCGGAGAGGTGGGAGCCGAGGTGTGGGGGCGACAGCCCGCAGCTGGCAGTGAAGGTGTTGGGGGCGCGCTGGAGGTCAGCTGTCAGGGGAGGGGGCCTCCGGGGCCGGGAGGGGGCGGAGCGGGTGAGGAGGGATGTGCTGGGGTATTGGGAGAGTCTCCCAGCCAGCCAGGCTGAGATCCGGGCCGGGGAAGCCACTGGCCTCGGCCCAGTGCCTACGCTTCCAGGCTGTGGAAGAGCCCCGGGGGCTGGCTTTTCCTCCCCTGGGAAGCCGAGCTCCCGGGAACAGCTCTGGGTGGCAGAGAGCTCCGGGAGCCAGCTCCGCGCGCGGTGTAGCTGCTAGCCGCCTTATGTTGGACGAGGTGTGGTCTTCCCTTCAGGCTGCCTGAGGCAAGCCAGCTTCAAGCATTCCAGGGGAAGCGTGAGTCCTCCTCGACCCTGTGGGGGCACCTGGAGGCTTTGATGGGGCAGCCAGGCCAGGCTTGGGGGCATGCCCAGCAATGCAGCGCGCTTCTTTGCAGTACAGTAGTTGGGAGCCCTGGTTAGTCCGGCTTCTGCAGAAACCAACTCAAGAATCCAGAGTCATCCCAGCCTGGATGGAAGCCTCCCAGAGTGGCGGGGAAATTCTCCTGAGGTTGAGAGCTTCCCCAGCTCTCAACTCGGGGTGGAGCGGGGGTCTTCCTCCGGGAATGACTAATGAATATTGCTGTTGTTGTTGCTGCTGCTGCTGCTGGTGATGATGGTGGTGGTGGGCACCTAGTGAGGCTTCTGCAAATTCCAGGAGATGCTTCAGTTCTCCTGACAGGACACATTCTTGAGTCGCACTTGAGGTATCTTCTGGGATGGGTGCAGGATTTTCCATGTGAAGCCAGGTGGAAAAGAAGGGAAGAGAGCTCCAGGACAGAGAACAGTTCTATAGTACTCTCTTGAGTCTGGGGAGGACCCATGTGGGAAGAGATAAGCGATTGACGGAGATTTGGAACCCAGACAACTTAGGGCTGGAGATGTCCAAGACTGAGTTAGAGCTCTTGAGAGAGTCACACAGCACCTCACTGTCAGTCATGGGGGAGAGGTGGAGGCTGGAAAAGCGGGAGCACCATGACTGTTCCAGTATGGTCCTTGAGAAAAGGTTCTCTCTCTCTCTGACTTGGTTAAGACCTTCTGGCAGTAGGTCCTAAAGTCAATTTAAGAGGTAATGAAGGGAGTTGAGGGTCTTGATGATGGCACAGAGGACCACAATTAGAACATTCTAGTTTCTGGTCCGTACTAATGGACTCTGGAGAAGATCAAAACTGTGTATAGGGAGTCAGGGGTAACCTGCTTTGTGACTGCTCATTTGGGGTGAATCCTTCAGCTTATCCCACCCCTGAAAGTGGGTGATGTTCAGACTCCTGGGATAGCTGCTTCGTCGGCCTGGGAATATTTTATGGGGCCTATGAATCCGTATCCAACGTGGTCTGCCTGCAGTCAACATTTTTCTGCTGCATTTCCCAAGACCTTCTCTCCACTGGGGATTTGTGCAGCGAAATACCTGCTTATTGCTCTTTCTTCCCTTCTCCATCTGGACTGCACCTGGTGTTCTGAACTCTGATGTTTATTCCTTGGCACCTTGATGTTTGGTTAAGACGTCCTACGGCTGCACAGGGGTGCCCCTGTGAATGTGTGGACCAATGGGCTGCGTGATTCTAGGGAGTGAAACAAAGACTCTTATAGAAAGAACGCCACCAACCAGGAAGGCAGTCCTATTAAACAGCTTGTGACAGCCTCCCATGCCCAAGCGCTCCCTTGCTTCCCGTGCTGAGGCCCTGGAAGCATAAAGATGGAGCAGATTCCTTCGTGTCCAGTAGGGGGCGCAAAAGGTACCTAGCTCAGGACCACTGACTTTCTCACTTCTTGCCCTTCACAGGCTGTAGCAACTTAATGCTTTTAAGGCAGCTCAGGCTACGGCCTTCAACCATCATCATCGTAATTGGAGTCCTTCTACCACAGACTTCCTGGACTTCAGGTGGTCCTGTGACCTCAAGTGCAATGGGGCAGGTGCAAGAACAACATTCCAAGGAGACAGACCTAGTACACAGCCCCACCCGCCCTCAGGCATCGTTTCTCTGTGCTTGGTGCAGGTGTGTTCTTTGAACTCTTTAAGGGCTCGTGGAGTTTCAGAACATTAGAGCCAGAAACAAGGCGCTTTGGAGAGCATCTCATCCAACCCCATCCTATCCCAACACTCGCACGCATATTTCATTCACAGATGAGAAAACTGAAGCTGGATAAAGCCAAGGTCACATGGCTATTTGGTGGAAGACATGGAGCTGGGTCCTAGGACTCCTGGTGCTCCATTCAGAGCTGTTTCCACTCCAGTGGCCTGCTTCCTCTTCACTATAAAGATGGACATACATTCTCTATACAGGAGGCACTCATAGTTACTGGCTCACCAGGCTTTGGTAAATTAATACATCTCATACAGTTGTGGAGATTCCCTTTGAATCTGTTTTTCAGAGTGAGGAGGTGAGGATAAAATATAGTTCTAGTCATGAACATACACAGGTCATAGAAATTCCTAATGATTTTTCTGTCCCTCTACAATCTGGTTTCATTATTCCAAGTGGTGTTTTAAGCAAAAGCCATGCAAGTCCAGGTTTCTGTCTGTGTACTTAGGAGTCAGAAGTGCTGAGTCCCTCACTGTGGTCTTGGAACCCAGGTCTGGAGCACCAAGGAATGCGGGCGTGGGGTCTCTCTGTCTTGCAGTCACACCACTGCTGGTGAGACCTCCCAGACTCAGATTCTAGATGGATTGGAGAGTTTCCAAAGAGTATTTGCCTAGTTTCCCCCACCCTCACTGCTCCTAGCTCAAGGTCAGAGTGCTAGGACATTCTATTTTTGCAAAATCCTTATATGTTTGGGCTTCTTGGGTGACCTGCAAGATATTACCATTTCCATTGCCCTTTCTTCTGTTCCGAGAGCCTGGCTGTCGACACCTGAGCTGGGCTCTGGGAAGGAGGTTTGCTGAGTGGCCTGTGAGCTGCCCCCTTTGTTCTCATGTCCCCACCTGGCTTCTTTGCGCACTGGACGGACTTCCTCCTGGTTCTCCTCAGAGCCTCAGCAGACTTGGCGGCCTACCTTCCTGAGAAACCCACTGCTGCCAAGCCAGAATTCTGAGAGGCGGAATCCACTTCTCTCCTGAAGGCTCACGAAAGGGCTGCTTGTTGCCAGGGAAGATGCTCGAGTCCCCTCCTCTCCCTCATCCTCATAGAAGATGAAGTTGGGCTTTATCTTCAGGGAGAAGAGGGAGGTGGCAGGATCACGTGGACCACCTGAGAGCAAAAGCCCCTCTCTTTAAACTGGAGTCTTAAGAGGCTGTGCTTGAGATCTCACCAGCCCCTAACTTTAGCTGGCGAAATGAGCCTCATTCTCAAGGCTTGGTCTAGTTCTGGATATGACCAGAGGAATATACTTACATAAAACATAGCTATAGCACAAGCTCTCTGGACTTTGGTTTGAATGGGGGAGTGGGTATAGAGCTTGAGAAGTGGCATTAGACTTTGTGAAACAGGAAGTTGTCCTGTGGGGCTTTTATGAGCCCCACTGATGGCTGAGCCTTCCCCTTCTCATTGTAATGGTAAGGACATAGGCTTAGAATCTGGACTCCGCTTGCTGAGACCTTAAACAAACCATTTAACCTCTGCAAGCCTCAGTTTCCTTCTCTGCTAAACGGTGAGGCTGACAACCGTGTGATGAGGGCAGGGAAGGGAGATAGTCTTTAGTGTTCCTCTGCCCTTGGTAAGAGGTAAAGAGGTATTCAGTTGGAAGGGGTTATTATTGCCGAATCACTGGGAACCCCAGGAGTCTTCTTTTTCCCAGAGAGTGAGCCTGAGTGTCCAGGTTTGCACAGCAGCCTCTGCTCACAGCAACATCTGGGCTGATGGGCAAGGCCTTCTTGGCAGGGCTCCCTCCTTGCCTCTTTCCCTCCCCCACCTCAGGGTTTTCACTTTGGGGTCCTGCCATGCTTGGGGAAAAGAAATTTTACAGGTCCCAGGATAATTCTGAATGTGATGGAGGACCTTGCGCTATTGATTCCTAAGGAAGGATCTTTCTGCTGGGAGAAGCCTTCCTCGGAGCCCAATGATTTAAGAGTGCTGACAAATTCGTGCTCACCGAGCCTCCTGCAGGCTGCAGATACAGACTTCCAGGCCAGCCTGGGCTCTGCTAGGGATTTCTGGAGAGCCTGGCTGGTTGCTTAGGGGACATAAACCTGTGAACTCTCCTTAGGAGAAAGTATGAAATCAATTGGTTCATTATCACACCAAACACACCCCAGACCACTTAGGGCATTTAAGAAATGAGAAGTAGCAAAGGACTGAGAGGTTGTCTTTGAAAAGTGTACAGAAAGGTGTGAAAGCATTGGGGAAAAGGAAGGGAGGAGAAGACCTTTATTCCACTGAACCACTCATGATTTTGACCTTATTGAAGTCCTTGAATGGCTACTAGAGGGGTTATTTGGTTCCCCCGCCCCAGATATTTGGAATTGTGTGTAGACATTTTTTCTTGTTACAACTGGGGAATGGAGTGCTATGAGTATCCACTAGGCAGAGGCCAGGGGTGCTGCTGAACATCCTACAGTGCACAGAACATGCCCCACAGCAAGGAATTATCTGGCCCCAAATGTCAGTAATGCCAAGATTGGGAAATCCAGGACCAGAGTATTGTGGCACAGAATCATAGCACATTAGAGGTGGGAGGGATTTAGATATACTCTCATCCAGTTCTCCCACTTCACAGCTGAAGATGCTGAGATCCAGACAGGAGAGGGAACCAGCCAGGATCGCGCTGCAGGCAAGTGGTCTGCTCCCTCCTGAGACCATCTTACTCAGATTCCTCCAGAGTTGTGAAAATTAAATGTGAGCTGTGAAAACAAAAATAAATAGAAAATATTTATAGAGACTATATTAATATTTCTATTATTAAGAATTGGGAGTTTGGAAAGTTCTATTTCTGGCTATGCCACTGACTCATTGTGTAATATTGGACAAATCAATTCTCCCACCCCCATGTCTCTCTGTGAATGTGTGTGTGTGTGTGTGTGTGTGTGTGTGGTGGGGAGGTGGCCTTAGCAAAAAATAAACAAATAAGTATATTATAATCATTCTCTTTGGAGAAAAGTCCAAAGATTTGCCCTTCAAAAACCCTACACACTTTTAAAAAAATAAAAATTTTCCTTGAAAGAAATCACGTTGACTTCGTAAGAAGCAAAGCGTTTACTTCTTGGAAAAATTCCAGTACCCTGGCCCTGTAAGTTGGTTCCAGCCCAGGAAATCTGATCAACATCCGGAGGAGAAACTGATAGCTCCGCAAATGACAAGAGGCTGGATATGCCCCGAGTCCCCGTGAGAAGGGAGATGGCGGTTTCTCCTCCATCCTTTCCTGCTCAACCCTCCTGGCCCAGGAAGTGCTACAAGGAACTTCAGTGAGGGATGGGAAGGTGTGTCATTAATTAGTGAAACCTTGTTTACTTAACAGACATATTCTTTAAGAGCTCTTCCAAGGGACATTTTGACATATTGCTTTAATTAGCTACGGAAGAATTGAGAGTGCAGAGTGTATTAAATGACCTGCTCTGTTGTTTCCAGTTACTCTTATCTTTGTTTGCACCCGACAAGTACAGTGACAAGGTCATGGGAATCACTGCTGAGCTCTGGGAATGTCCCAGTGACCTGAGGAACGACAGGACTTCTTTCTTCCCTTACACCAGCCTTCACCTACCTAGAGAGCAGCCACGTCAGTGGAGATTCCTGCTTTGGCATTCCAGCCCTCTTTTGATGTAGATGTGTCTTAAAGGAAGCATCGTGTTGTGCAAATCTTAACACAGCTCTTAGGAAGGGGAGCAGGCCTGAGAGCTGGAAGTTCCCCCTCCCGAAAGGGCAGAGGAGCTCTTTCCTGTAGGATTGGTGGGAACAGCCTTGGTGGGTGTTTTTCACATGAGGTTTGACCCTGGTCTTGTCCTCCTTGTGCTTAGGATTAGAGGTAGGAAGTCACTTGAGGCTCCCCTGAGAGGACTCCCTTCCCACATGGGAGTGTCACTATGTAGATTCCTGCCATGAATCTTCTACGTGTCCTGAAGCAGGTCCCTTAGCCTCTGGAGGTCAGTCCCTGTAATCGGAGGAGCTGGGTGGCAGGCTCTTTCTGTCACTGGCAGTCTTTTCCTCTAAGGGGTGGCATATTCCCTTTCACCTGGTCTCTAAGAACAGCCTCTTTCTTAGAAATCATCATCATGCACTTCTCATCTGAGAAGCTGTGTATATCCAAAGAGGCTTTTTCAGGTAGAGAAATAAGAGTCCTCAAGGAGAAATGCTGCCTTGTAAACAGTATGAGGGAGACACTGTCATTTGTCCTCAGCCACAAATTCAGTGCCTAGCCTGGCACTTGGCATGTGGAAGGGCTCCGTAGGTGCCCAGTGGGTGCACAAATGAGTAAGTGAATGTTGGTGGCCATTCTGGGGCAGAAGTGACCCTTAGTATTCGATTGGATCTCCAAGCCCACCTTCCATCTAACTCCTTCCCAGAGTCAGCACAAGGTCTATGTAAACCTCTAAAAGACCCTAATCAAACAGCGCTTGAGGACTCCAGGCAAGGCCCACTCCCGGAGATGGTGGCCGGCTCTGAGCCTGGAGCAGGGATGTGTTTCTCTTCCTCCTTACCTCCCTTCGCTGTTCTCATTCTCTTTCCCGCCCCATTCCCACCTGGCTGCTGCAGGGAAGCTCAGTGCAGGTTTACTTTGCTTGAAGCTGATAGACTACATAGAAATTTGGACTTCCACTGGAGACAAGCTAGGAAGTGAATCACAAAAAGATATCTGGGAGGATGCTTTTAAATAGCAGGGTCCACTAATGCATTTTAAATTATTTAGGGAAAACTCTTGACCCATAGACTATTAGGCCTGGAAAAGAGCTTTGGAGGATACAGTGCCCCACCTCACCCCTGCCCCAGGATGTTCAAATCCTCTCTGTGATACTCTCACTCACTTCTCAGAAACATGGTCTTTCCATGCTGCACGCTGCTGCCCAAAGTCTTTCCCCTTTCAAAAATGCAAGTCTGATCCTGTCTCCACCCAACTTCAAAACTTCCCACACAGTGGTCCTTGCCGTGACATAGCAGGCTCCAAGGTCCTTGCCGTGGCATAGCAGGCTCTCCAGGCCCCAGCTGCTGCCCCACACAAGACCACATCTCCACCCTTGTCCCCTCTTCTCTCTCACTCCACCCCATATCCCAGACCTTGCATTCCAGCAGCAACAAATGCACTCACAGCAGGTACCAAGCCGTCTCACATCCGTGTCTTTGATCCATAGGTCTCCATCACCTAGAATCCAGTTCACCATCCCCAGAGAGCCTTTTCTCCTGCCCTTCCCACCACCTCCCTAGTTAATCCCTCCCTCCTATGACCTATGTCTGTACTTCGTATCTGTTTCTTTTTGTTTTCGAGATGAAGATTTGCTCCTGTGCCCAGGCAGGACTGCAATGGCATGATCTCGGCTCACTGCAACCTCTGCCTCCTGGGTTCAAGCACTTTTCCTGCCTCAGTCTCCTGAGTAGCTGGGATTACAGGCATGTGCCACCATGCCCGGCTAATTTTATATTTTTAGTAGAGACAGGGTTTCTCCATGTTAGTGAGGCAGGTCTCAAACTCTCAACCTCAGGTGATCCAGCCACCTCGGCCTTCCAAAGTGCTGGCATTACAGGAGTGAGCCATCACTCCAGGCCTACTTTGTACCTATTTCTACTCCAAGCTTATCCTACTGAATTGTGTCTCACCCAGGGTAGACTGTAAGCTCCTTGAGGTCAAGGACTAGGTCTTTTTCATCATTTCTAACCTGGCCCACAGGCATCTTCTCAATGTTTGAAGAACAAATGTGTGTAGCATAGCATGCTAAGGGGTTCTGTGCTGAGGAAGCAATATTTAAGGAGTCAAAGAACTCCATCAGGGTCCCCTAGACAAATTAGTTACAGAAGCAAACCTATTCCTCAAAGTCTCATAGTCCAGAGCATTCCATTCAACATTTGGCAACTACTCCTGGAAAGGGGGCACGGAGCAGGCCTGGCCTCCGTCTCCCGAGACACATTCATGCAGCCTGCAAACATTTATTAGTAGTAGTATTAGTGTGATTATTGGTGCCGTTACCTACTATGTGTGGACTTTGTCTGTGCCAGGCACTACGCTCAGCACTTAACACCCATTCATCTCATTTCATTCTCACAGCAGCCCAATAAACTTATTTCCCATTTTACAGAACAGGAAGCCTGAGCAGTTAATAGAACCTATTAAGAACCTGCTGTGACTTCTGCATAAGGCTAGGAGACTCCATTTCTCCTCTCACTTTCAGAAACATCATTTCATTAGCCCACCAGCCTCTGTGGCACTTCCTTACCTGGGTCCCCTGAGGTTTTGTCTGCCTTTTTCTGAAGCAAGCCCGGGTCTCCTGTCTATGAGTGCTGCTGCAGCCGCACAGTCTAGAACTGTCTCCAGGCAAAGGGGAGGAAGAGGAAGCCATATATTTTCTCGGTGCTGGGGAAAATGCATAGAACATGGCACCTTCTGAGGGGCAGGGAGTTACAGAGGTCTGGAGTTTGTCTCTTAGGCTGGCAATATAGAGGACAAGGCAGGAGATGGGGTGGAGAAATAGAAGCATTAGAATGAATGCTGATGCCATACATTACCAAAAGCTTCATCTTATTCTCAGCCGTTTTCCTAGTGCCCAGAGCAGTACCTGAAATAGGGTAGGTGCACAATAAATAATAAACAAATGAATGAATGAGTGAATGAATGAATGAGTAAATTGTGGCCTCCAGTGTTCTCTCTCACTTGGACCACAGTATTTGCCTCCTAACTGGCTTCTTTGCTTCCAGCCCAGCCTTCTCATGACCTTCTCCACACTGTACTGACACAGTATTCCTTCTAGCACACCTCTCTGGCCATGGCATTCCCTGACCCCCGGGCCTGTGTCACTCGCGAGGCCTCCAAGGTCTTTTCCGGCCTCCAATGTCTTTTCCAGCCTCCTTTGCTGCATTTCTTCCCATCAGGTCAGGTGTCCTGCCCCTGCCCAGAGCTCCAGCCCTACAGAGCCTCACTGCACTACACAAAGCTGCACATCTCCCATGCAACTGCTCCCTCAGCCTAGAGCACTCTCTCCACCTTGTTCCTCTGGCCCACTTGGTGTTGCCTCTCTTAGGCCTTCTCCAGCTTTCCCAGGCAGAGGTGGTAGCTCCTTTCACTGTGTTCCCATCTCACTTTGTTAAGGCAAATTTGATGTCATGAGAGATATATATTCAGTATAGGGTAGAAGAATCCTGGTGCTCGTTTGCTTAGACATACGTCAAGATCCACCAGGTACTAACTATGTGACCTTGGGCAAATTGCTTACCCTCTTTGCACCTTAGTTTTCTTATCTGTAAAATGGGGACAGTCGTAGTTCTTCTCTCACAGTGTTACTATGCAGATTAAGTGAGTCATTCATGTGAGTGGTTAGAGTAGTGCCTGGCACATGGTCAGTGGTAGATATGTGTTATTATTGTTACTGTCCATTCCTTGTATGGTACTTACTCTGCAAAATTGAAGTTATATGCCTCTCTGTGTGCCTGGTGCACAGAGTCCATTTGAAGATCCACACGACCCACTCTTGGATTTAGACAGGGAGCTCTGACAGCATGTGAAAGTGGGAGGATGGGAGAGGAGAGGGGGAAGCAGTTAGCAGGTATTGCTATTGTTCAGGTGAGGGAGAAAGGGGCAGATCCCCCACAGGAGGGGTGGAAAAACTGAGCAGATTTGAGAGAGATTTGTGAAGCAGAATAGACTCTGGGATTCAGTGGGTGTGAAGAATGAAGAGGCAGCAGAGATGATGCCAGATTTCCAGCCTGAGTGACAGTGCTGGGGTTTGAAGGGGCCCGATGAAT